CTACAGGACTCCACGAAATGCACATAGGTGAAATTTCACTGAGTGAAAGTGTAATATTCCAACTAATTATATGCACAAATCTAGTGCTCATTTTTCCTTCACTTGTTCTGTGTTTTATTCCCGTTATTTTGAAGCACTGGATTCTTGCTTTAATACATCTGTTCGTATCAACTGTGTTGTTCAGTCTTTCTATGCCAATGCAGATACATTACTGTGTGATAGTTTGAAATGCCTGCATGCAGCATAATAACACGCACATTCCACTCATCACTCCGTGGAAAATGTGATTCGTCTTTCTAATATACTTTGCAGGCAGAGTATTGAGTATTTGTAGAAAGTATTTCTTGGATTAGGAAATACACTTGTTTGCAGAGTTCGAGATATTACCTTCAACAATAGAACCATTGCAAAACAATATTATTGTCACTGTCATACCATCTCCATTCGTTCATTTCACTGCTGGCCAAATCCTCAATTTATACCCCATTGATGCAGCTGCAAAGCCAGTTGAAATCACACAGCTCTCGTTTTATTTCCCATCTAATTGAAGAGGCACGTAGAATGAATTATTTTGCTGAACCCTATTCATGCCGAGATAACCACTAGACTATTTCATCTCGTTTCTCAACAACAGCAAAGAAATAGATAACTGGACGTTTCACAGTGATTTTCTTTTCCATTAAACTTTACATGCAAAACCCAGGGAAGGCATTTGATGTGAACTGATTTCAAATTCGAGTCTGGTTTCTGAGTGGCTTCAGTCCAGCTAGTTAATGGATTAGCGATACTTTTGCTTTTGAATCTATTGGATATGAAAGTAAAGATGGTAAACCACTGAGATTAACTTCTAGTGGTTGATCCTGTAGGGTAATATATAGTAAGACCTTCTTGAGAAAGTGCATAACAGTGTCTGAATTAATATGCTGCACTTGGCTATGTAGTTGTCAGTTATATCTTTTAATCTGGTTTAAAGTGCGTTGGGGATTGGAGGCATGCTGTGAAATGCTTGATTAGTTTCTTACTTACTGTATTTCCTAAGGTACAGATTTGGACATGCTCCACTATACATTAAGAAAACACATTGCAACGCCAATATTCTCTCAAATGAATATCAATATAGAATTTTCCATTTGATTGCTACATTTTAGCATTTGATGTGAGGAAACTGGATTTCCTGAAGCCCAGGCCACTAATGCTTCGTTTACTGTGCAAATGCGTTTTGGTTTTACTTCTTGAACCGTGCAGTAAGGCTTTTCTTTGATCTAATTAGCATTTTAATTAAAGCAGATCACTGTTGGATTTACAGGAAATTCCATCAATTTCACAACCCGCTGGGGATCAATCAGTGTTTGACAGAATGTAGAAAACAATCTGGTTGGTGAGAGTAAAGTATTGATGCTGTTATGCTTCTGTTTGGAGATTTACTTTAAATGTTTTCATGGTGGATTGGAATAAAGCAACCTAAGATTGTGAAAAAGACTTGTCCTTGCTATATGTAGTCTTTAAAAACATAAATTGTAAACCTATTAAAACAGAAATATTTCCAATATCGCTCTTTGAGATATCAGCCTGCCTCAGTAGTCACTCTTATCTCTGAGTTAGAAGGCTGTAGGTTCAAGCCTCACGTTGGGACTTTGAATCACATAGTCTAAGCTGACACTCCAATGCAGTGTAGGTGCTGTCCTTTGAATGAGACATTAAACCGAGTTCCTGTTTGCTTGTCCTGGTGGATGTTAAAGATCCCATGTCACGATTCTCCTGGTGTCCTGGCTAACAATCCCCAAATAAAATGGGTGATGGCTGTTTGCTGTTACCAAATTGGCTGCTATGTTTGCCTGCCAAATATACACAGTTACTACACTTTTCAGTAAATCCTGTGAAGTGCTTTGAGATGTGAATGGCGACATATCAAATGCAAGCGTTATTATTTAAGAAACAAATCAGATGTGTGCAATGAGCTGGATTTTCATGCTAGGCTGAGAAACTATTTCGGTGAACGTTTTTGCAAAGCCTGCAGTTACTTAGGGAAGAATTTCAAAAGGCTTGAGTCAAGCAAGGCTGAGTCCAGAGAATCGAAGGCTCAGTATTGTCAAAAAAATAAAAGTGCCACTATTCAATGAGCTGAAGTCTTAAGTGTGTTGTTGTGAAAAGGTTTCCTCTCCCTCTCTGCTGCGCATCCTTCCTGAGGTTGAGTGCCCAAAACTGAGCTCAGCACTCCAAACGAGACCTAACCACTGCTCGTGTAATCAGAGCAACATCGCCTTGCTTTTATATTGCAGAGCTCTGTCGTTGGCATTCCAATTCAGTCCTGGGCAAGTACCGTATTGTTGGAAGTGCCCTCATTCGAATGGGACGTTGAAACAAGGTCATTGATCACTCCGTGGCTGTTTGCGGAACATTGCTGTGTTGAAATTGGCTGCCACGTGTGCCCACAAAATATGCAGTTGCTGCACTTTATGGTATATCCTTAAATTTATCTAATTTGTTCTTGAAACAACTTGTTTCATTATCCATGATAAACTCTAAGGGACAAATTAAATCAATAAAGTTAAATAATGTTTTCTTTAATTCTTTCATGGAGAAAATATGTTAATTTGGGAAGAATGGTCCCAGGATGAGAATAACCTGATTAATCATTGCTGGATTCCTGCTCCATGCAATCAATAACCTTTTGTAGATTCAAGCTTTAGGAACAATATTCACAAAGCCCTTTGAATTTTCTGCATGTTGGTTGTTTTCAGGAATCAAATTAGGTGCCTTTGTACCACAAACGTACGTAGACACTACAACAGAAAACTAATTCCATGAGAAAGATGTGCTGGTGAAGGACTGAAATGTACCAGCTTTTCTTGAACACAAATCTATTGGATCATTTTAAATATGTGATATCAGAAGCGTTTATTAATGGGATTCTTCCAGTTAGAATTCCAGTCAATTTTTGGTTATCTGATCAAGTCTCTATTTGTGTGATTCTTAATTCCTTATTAAGCCATCAGCCTTGATCAACTGTTTCCACTCTCACTTTCTGAGTCAGAAGGTTTTAGGTTTAAGTCCCTTATCATGACTTTGAGTTCATAGGCTGGCACTTCATTGCAGCCCTGGGGCAGTGCTGTATTTTTTGAGGTGCCGTCCTTCAGATGAGACTCTTAACACAAGATCCCATCTGCCTGTTCCGGCAGACGTAAAAGATCCTGTGTCTGTGTTTGAAAAGAAAAGTGGCAGTTTCTCCCAGTGCTGTGGCTAACAAACCCCAAAATAGAATTGGTCGTTCACTTCATGATTATTGGTGGGTTAGGGTTAGAATATTGCTGTGTGCAAATTGGCTGCTGTGTTTGTCTACGAATACACAGCCACCACAATGAGAGTAAATACTGTCAAGGTTTTGAGATGTCTCCCAATGTGAAAGGCGCTGTATCAAATGGGAGAAATATTAATTTGGATCTCTCTGAGCTTCAGCAACCTGAGATTCGGAAGAGGATCTGGCACCTAAATGGTGTATCTATTTAGATAGATCAATGAAGTAACACAAATGCTCTCAGCTTTTTGATACAACAGATTTAATCCATGCGGCCACTCCTTGGGGGCAATTAACAGAATTCGGAAACGGTAAACTAGTTTTCAGATGAATGGGATGAATCTTTTTTTCATTAAAAAAAAACGAGACCATATTGCTCCAGTTCTATTTGCTAATGGGAGGATGAAGCATATCATATTAGACATTTTCAAATGAAAATCTAAAGATCATTGCCTGAAGAGCCATCTCCTTTGAGAATAAAGCTTTTCCCCCACTGCCCGCTAATTGACAGCTCTGTGCCATCTCAGCAGGCACTGGACCAAACTCCATTAGCCATTGACCTCATGCAGTCTGGAGTCTGTGCAAAATTAATGGGAATGTTTCCCCCCCACCCACCTTTTACATTTTGTTTCTTCCAAATACTGACCTGCATTTTCCAGGCTGTGAAATGAACTGTTGACCTCAAACCGACAGCGATTCGAATGCACTTTAGTGAAGTGGTGCAGCAAGTTTATCCACAGTACAGAGAGACAGATTCCCTGTCTGAATTAGTCCTTTCCGATTCTCAGCGGTGATGTGGGGCAGGAGGGAAAAAATCAATCACGCTGAGGAAATTGGAAAGCATCAGTATTGGCGACTGGCTACAGTGCCTCCTGTTGGCTGTCTGTATCAGAGGACTGATTAAATGCACAGCCACAACAGGACCTGGAATGAAGAAGGAGCAAAGACAACAATAAATAGGGAAGAAACAGCAAAACTATTTCTCCATTGAGAGAAAATAGATTGTCCATTTCAAATCCATTTGAACTTTTTTTGTTGCGGTCAACCAGGTGTCTGACACATACAGAAACACATTGCCTTGACTTAAGAGTATCCAAAGCAGAATAAGAGTTCCACATGGAAATTTCCCTTTGTCTGTAGTGGAATGCACATTCCACTCTGCAAAGGGACACATCCAGTTTACCTAATTCTGGGGAATATTAATCCCAGATTGGTGAGAGCCAAGGTTTAGGTTGAATCCCCAAAATGTGTGTTGATATACTGCTGGAATTTAACCAGCTAAAACTGTGTAGCTTCCCTTTGAGAGCACTGTCTGGCAGGTGTACTGTTGCTTGTCTGGCTAGGACCACCCTATCTGCTCGGACTTTGCTTGACAGTCAACAGGAGCTGAGTGGGGTGAATTCCTGATCCCAGTAACCCTTACCCTAACAACTGAAATGCTCTGTGGTATCGCCTCGCCCCCTCCCTCGCCTCCTTCAAGACTTGTCTCGAGACCCTCCTCTTTGACTGTACCTTCGGTCAACCTCCTTCCCCTGCTCTTCAGCTTTTCTGATCCTAACCTCTAGCTCGGGTGCGGATCCCTGACTATCCAGCACCTTGGGATATCCTCCTGATGGGAAAGGCAGTCTACAAATGTAATTTGTTATTGTTATCTGATCTGTATGCGATGAAATCTAACCTAGTTTTAAACCTTTCCTTTGAACAGAAATGGGAAAAGATAGCGGTAACATCCAATGTGAGATTCCTAAGGATCCGCGTTTCCCTGACTGTCCTGGCAAGGTTGAGGTGAGTAAACAATACTCATCTTAAAGATATTACTGATAAATATTTCTGACATGTTCCCGCATTAAGAGTCTGAAATCTACCAAATTTCTCGGCACGTTTGAGCGAGTTAATCAATTCACTTTTCCTTTGGTTTATTGATTGAGATGGAAATAAAGATTGTGCCCTTATCTCTGTAAAAATCCATACTGGCAGGAATAGACAATAATGGTGCAAAGAGATCTGTTCCTGGCCTAGTGGTACCTAGGGATAAAATAATCATTCAGTCATATTTGATTCTGGACCACAGGCATTAATTAACAAGTGAATAATAATAATCCTTGCATTTGAAATAGCGACTCATCACGTCTTTGAGACATCTCAAAGTGCTTTGAGTGTTCTTCAGTATCATTCATCTGGTCCTATAAATCAACAGGTGTTGATGGTGTGGCTTCTGAAAGCACCACTCTGGCAGTGTGGCCTCCGAGCAACCTTAAATCACTCTCAAATAATGGGCAGAGACTTTACAGGTGCAGACAAAGCAATTAGATTTTCTCTTTTTTGGAGCCATTCTTCCTCTAGGAATTCCCTGGCCTCCCATTACAGTCTGTGTCAGACCACAGCCCTGCAGGCCATCTCTAGTTATGCTATATGTTCAGATTACAGCAGCTGCAATCAAGACAGTGCAGAGTGAAGGATACCCACCAAAGCAGAACAAGTTGTGAAATTTGGCCCTAACCATTCTGGAGTCTTGTTAGATCAGTGGCTTCTGCAGTCCCTTTGCTGTAGTGGCTGTGGGTCTAGGCCTAGCAGTTGGTTCCCATCTTCTTTGTGCCTTATCTGAGTCTGTAGGATTTCTGCCAGTGGGAAAGAATCTTGAGAGAGTTCTGACTGCTCATTGTGCCTATGTTGTGGAAGATCCCCCTCTGGAGTTTCCTACTCTCATTCCAATATCCTCGCTATGTTGAAAACCTGGGGAATCAGATCTTTTGGAACAGATTTTAAACATGCCAACCTTGCAGTATTTTGACTGAAGAGACGATGCAAATTAGACCCAGCTGCTCTTGGATGCTGAAACTGTCCGTGCCTGTGTGACTGCGGCTGGTGTAAAAACTGCAGCACAAGTCTTGTAATACAGGCACAGGTAATAATAAATAATATGATAATCCTTGCATTTGATATAGTGCCTCATCACGTCTTCAGGCTGTCTCATTCTATAGACACAAACATTGACCGTTGTCCACGATTTTGCCTGATTTCTATGGCTTTGCTAACGCACAGTAGTTTGGTGGGCTGGCTGTGAATCCCATGATCGTTTAGCCAGATAGGGTTGGTGACTCTAGTCAACGGTAACCTGATTTTAATGAATTATTTAACTATCGCATTAGCCTAGAAAACACAGTGTCACTACACTTTACAGTTTATCCTGTGCAGTGCTTTGAGACATCCTCCCGATGTGAAAGGGACTATATCGAATGGAAGGATTTAAAAAAAATTCTTTCCAAATTTGTTATATGTCAAGGTGAAAAATGCCAGTGCTGTTGATGAACAGTGGTATATTTTGTTTGCCTTATACAAGTGTTCCCAAGTCAGGTGTACTTATAACAGCGTGCCTTATCCCTAACCTATTATTTTCTTAATCTATTTTGGTCACCAAGTGCACCATCCCGAAGTCACGGAGCTATCCCTCTTTAAATGAAGTTATGTCTGTAGCACTGCAGTATAGAACGTCACTCGGGAACTGTCAGACCAGTCTTAGTTTACAAGGACTGCAGTAGCTTTGAAACCTACTTAATCCTGGGAGGATCAGCAATACTGTCTCAAGAATATCTCCCTAAAAAAATAGGCAGTGGCTATCTCTGAAATAACCCTCTTCCGAAATACTGCATTGAGCCCTTTATGAGAGTATCAACAACTACAACAACTTGCATTTATATAGCGCCCTTCATGTGGGGTAGCGTCCCGGAGTGCTATTGAATGTCTCATGCACTCATAGAGTACAGGAAGCAATGATTCCTTTAGAAATGTTAGGGATTTCTCCCCATTGATAATGTACCATTCAAAATAACACGAGTGATGATTCGCGTAAAGTGCTGTGTCCCTTTAGCACAGATCCTGGTTCATTTCATGTCAATTTCCTGAACTGAAGTTCAACTGTTGCGTAATTCAACCTTCTGTGTATTCATACAAGTAAAGAGACATGACTGCTTGTAAGTACTGTACATCCCTTCAATAAAACAAATTTAAAGTGCAATTTGCTGCAAGATCACTTTACGTCTGACCCAGTTATTCTCTGCTTTCTGGGCTGTGACTGCACTTGGGCATCTGTGCTCAGGAGATCAGGTGACTGGGATTGGATTTTATTTTACTTTCACTCTTTTACAAGTCGGAGTCCCTGAAACCTTTTCAGTGGAGAACATGTAAACTGAAGTCCATTGTTGCTTTGTATTTCCTACTTTATTCCAGGGCTTGCAATTGGTTTCACTAAATCCCCAATTATTTTGGATCTCATCCAAATATTCCTTCCTCGAAGAGCAGAAAAGGGGGGATGAAATGTGGGAATTAATTCAGTCAAGCATTACTTGATTTGGCAGCAGCTTCGTGATGCATTCATTTCATTCTATCAGAATTCATTCTATTAATTCATTCTATCTAACGATTATTATTATTATAAGTCTATATCCTATGGTTCGCTTTATACTATTTCCCTGCACCTATGAAGACTCCTCTGTGGAGTCTTACTTATGGAGAACAAAAACACACGAAGAGGAGGTAAGTAATTTTCTGGTTGAAAGACAAGTTCTAGATTCCTCAAGCAGCTAAACTGCCCATGAACATTATATTCATACTATCATCTGACACTATTTCTACATCAGTAGAACAACACAGAGAGATTAATGTTTTATCTATCCTTCCGTGCAAATCTTTAAACTAATGGCGTAGTTAGATTGCTCCTGGAGCCTTTTATTATTACTTCTTAATTTGCCGACCCAAAAAGTGCTAATAAAATACCCGGAGACAGAAAACGATGCAAGAAAAATTTCTCTCCAATGTAATGCATCACATAGGCCTCCAAACAACCAACATGCTAAATAATAAATAATAATCATATCAATACTTCAAAATAAAACCCCTTCTTCTCAGGTACCTTTTCCTTTGTGTCAAAAAAATGAAAGGAAAAATGTCTATAACATGAAGCCTTTTACAATATAAATAGGTGTGAACTACCTGAATCAGTTATTTCATTAAAACGAATGACGTTTTACTAATTGCAAGTTATTAATTAGTATGAAATGCCCATTGTTTTAATAAGCAGCAAACAGCAGCAAAATAAAATGCAATTATCTCATTGAGGACTGAGTCCCTGAAGGCAAACCCAATGTCTAGATATGTTTCAGTTGTATTTTTTTCTAAATCAATAATAAATGTTAAATAATAAGCCTTAAGGCAACTAAAGAAACCTTTTGCAACATATCTCTTAGCCTGCTGTAGCTGAAAGAACTCAATAATGAGTACCTCCGGCACAGTAGTGCACACACAAGGAAGTTAATTGTTGTTTGGCTAGTCCCAATTGCTCAAGCACTGTGCTTCACTACAAACACTAACAGTTGACTTACTCGAGAAATGAAATTTTTAGGTCAAATGGATAACACCAATGTGTCATCTATAGTAGACTAGACCTTGAAGAGATTAGACGCCCTGGTTTTAAGGATGCTTGATACATTTTCGAATAACTAATTGACTTTGTTTCAAAAGCAGAAAGGAAGGTAAACAGGTCCTGGATGAGAGCCAACTCTCTACAGCTGAGTGTCAGTAGGACCGAGGCCCTCTTGAGTGGTTCGTGCCAGCGCCTCCGCACCTCAGGCATTGGCAGCATCAGGATGCAGACTCCACCTCACCAAGCATAGTCAGGAACCTGGGCGTCTTATCCCAACCCTGCCCCCCACGATTGGGTCCTGATCCCTGACTGTTCAGCCCCTTTTTTTTTGTCATGGTAGCTTGTTACTCTATTAACTACAATGATTATTCTATCTGAGACCTTATCCTGAAACCTACCATTGAACCTTTTGCATCCACTGGACCTTATAGTGAGGTCATTTGGCCATTAATAACCTTACGTCTGCTAAAGATCCCTTCAGGACAACAGAAAACACATTTTAACTGAGTTAGTTTAAAACCTTCTCTGTGGAAAAAATATTAACTGACGGATAAGACTGTGCAGATAACTGGCAAAGTGCTTAGTTTGGACACAGACATATGGTTAATGTTGGTGAAAAGACTTTGCTTGATGCCCTTCACAAGGAGATATACATTGGGGGTGAAAGAGAAAGGTTCCAAATGATTATGATACAATTTTTGACATTTGAATAATGAGGAGACGATTTATAACCTTCAGTCCTGGGTCCTGGCTTCTAATGTGATCTGCATTGACTGGCATGAATGTCTCCTCTGAAGTATGGGTTAAGTGCAGTATTACAGGAAGCTTTACCCTGTATCTGCCTATTGTACAGCTGATCTGAGAATGCTTCCCGTATGACATTAGGGGTCTAATTTGCAGGTTATGTTATGGATCTGTAACTATGAAATTACAGGTGCCTTAATTATGCAATTAACCAATTATTCTTCCATTCATTTCACTACTTGTTAATTACATAAGGCCATGTGATTTCCCGCTCTTTGGTTTACACATGGCTCGCACATCCCGACCCACAAATTATATCCCATTGTGGAAATGTTTGTCCGAAACTGATATTGCTCATATTGATGGATAAAAACATTGGTGCAGAAATATGAGAGCAAACATTTCAACACAAGCAAATTATTGTTTGAGACGATAAACACAAAAAACAGATTGGATACCTGCAAAATTAGAGTAAGAAAAAAAAAGCCACATTTCGAGTCTTTCAAAGCTTTTGCAAGTGTATGGGTGGGAGTGTGTGGGAGGCTGCTTTGTTTCTCTTCGGGAAACCATTGATACGCATTAATAACTACTATACGACTTCACATGAGATAATTACTACAAA